AAATTTATGAAGAACAATTATTTGTTTGTAAACTTTTATAACAGAAACAAAGAAAAACGTGTTTTTTTTTTCAAAATTTTGGGTTTTTTGTGTTAATTTAGCAAAAAATAAAAACCCCAGCGGTGATTAAACACCACCAAAAGAAAGCTCTAGTTGTGTGAAGCAAATTATAAAATTTTAGTTTGGGTACAATGTTGTATAACCGCGCAATTGTCATTCAAAGTGTGAGAGCGCTGAAACGTGAAAACTGGCCTGTGCAGGAAGGTGTAAAATTGCCCGGTATTGAAATGGTTAATTACCACACACCAATTTTACATTGAGGGATCGTGCTGTAACTGTGAGCCAAGTGTTTGGCTTGCGGTTGTGGTGCCCCCCCCTTGAACTCAAAGGGTGAGTTTGACAAGTGGTTCCGTGAGTTAAAAATGTGATGACCACAAAGCAAAGCATCGCGGCCACAACATATATACAGCAGGGGTGAAGAAAATGTGGCTCGACAACCTGTTTTTACTGCTCCCCGGCCACCCATGTGCAAGTGCCCTAACTACTCTGTCCAGAAATAGTCTATACTAGTCCAATTAGATTTGTTCTGTGTTACACTCAGTGTTAAAGGAGAAGTTCAACTTTGGGAACCTGTTACATGTTCCATCTGTTTTTAGGGTGGAACAACATGTAACATGTTCCCACTGCTGCAGCCGCTGCCCGATCCTCCCTCTCCCTGTGACAGCAGTATGGGGAGAAATTCCACGTAATAGCTGTCACTTTTTGAAAACAGTATAGACACGTGGGGATCCGCCCACATCATTCATTCAGAGTTCTGTGAACGAATCAACTACAAATACTGTCATCCTTTACAGGTGTCACTTTGTAGTTCTCAATGAACTACCACAACTCTGTTGATCTCTGTGGTAATTCAATGGGTCTTCCTGTCAGTGTATAACTATCTGCTCATACAAGGTATGAGCACAGATTACACTGACAGTCTGCAGGAGACCTGCATGGCACCAGTGATCTGCTGGTTGAATGCTTTACAGGCACTGAAAAAATAAAGAAATATTAAAAGCACATTTTTTTACCTATTAAAAAATGCTTTTTTTTTTTTTTTTTTTTTTTTTTTTTAAAAGTGAACTCATCCTTCTAGAATTTCCAAGCTCACTATATTCTCCTGTATTAAAAATCTAATAACATATTATTTATGGTATTAAAAACTGTAGCTGCTGACACTTACCTGTCCCTCGGTCCAGCGGGGACCTCACCACCGCTGGTTTCACCAGCCGTCTTCTCTCCCGCGGTGTCCTCACCACCGCTGGTTTCACCGACCGTCTTCTCTCCCTGGCGTCGGCATCACAGCTGGGTGCTCACTGCGCATGCGCGAGAAACACTGCACTTTGTGAATGGCCCGATAGTCTTCTGGGACCTGTCACGCGTCCCAGAAGATTACAGGGAGGGAGGGTAGGAGGGCAACTTCCACTTCCGATCGCCTAGGTGATCGCAGTGGAAGAGGCTGCAGGTACCTGTCAAATTCGGGTACACGACACCCCCCCCCCCCACCGCTCCCCAAAGGTGCCAATCCTTAATGGGGAGCAGGGGACAAGGGCTTACAGCAGAACTTCTGCTTTACGGTTGGTTTGAGGAGGCCTGTAATACACACGGTGCTAAATAATGCTACCTCGCTTGCTGGGAGGAGAAACACAGGCTTTATAGGTGGAGCTTCGAAAAAAAGTGGAAGTTCGATGGGTAAACATCCCTCCCTTACATTTTTGTTGTTTTCATTCATTGAAGAAAATTGGAATTGATTTTCGTTTAGTTTTTGTCACTGAAAACATGGCGCTGATGAAAATGATGACAAAAATATTTTCGTCAATGAAATTAACACTGGTTACACTGCCTACTCTGTAGTACATGAAACTACTTTTAAAACAAAAAAAACTCCAATTTAAAAAAAAAAAAAAAAAAAAAGGAAAAAGGAAAAAAAAAAAAAAAGTGCGGCCTCCCCATAATAAACCTGGGAAACCTGGGTGTAGAAGTATCATTACCAGGGTTCAGAAGGTTCAGGTTAATAGGTGCTGTAACACTCCAACATCTACTAATAGCTAAAATGTCTTTAACCGCTTCCCAACCACCCTATAGCAGAGCTACAGGGCGGCAGGGCTGTGCAAAATCACATTTATATATATATATATATATATATATATATATATATATATATATGTGTGTGATTGTGTACTTCCGGGTAGGAGGGGCGTGCCCTACCCACGCCACTATTGGCAGCTTCAGCTGTCAATCACTGGGTCCCGGCCAGTGATTCCCCGCCAGCACCTGGCGACTGCCAAGTATCACTGATGGGGGAGAGGTCTGTATGTAAATAATATAGATCTCTGCCATCAGCTCCAGCACGCTGCTTTGTAGCAACTTTATAGCAGAGCAATACAAAACAGCGTGCTTACACAGTAAAGAACAGGACACAGTAAAAAACACACACCACACAGTTAACCCTTTGATTGCCCCAGATGTTAACCCCTTCCTGGCCAGTGTCATTAGCACTGATCACTGTATTAGTGTCACTGGGGATGTCAGTGACAGTTAGTAAGCTTCCCCCCCAGTGTCAGAATGCCCGCCGCAGTCCCTCTATAAGTCACTGATTGACGCCATTACTAGTATAAATAGATAAATACAAAATCCCAGTATATATCCCGCCATTTGCAGATGCTAGAACTTTCACGTAAACCAATTAATTTACACGTATTGGGACTTTTTTTTTTTTTTTTTAGCAAAGACACGGAGCAGAATACATTTTGGCCTAAATTTATGACAAAATTTAATTTAAATTTTTTTACTGGACATGTTGAATAGCAAAAAATAAAAAATAGTTTTTTTTTCGTTTTCAAAATTGTTAGTTTTTTTTTTTTGTTTATAGCGCAAAAAAACCCCAACAAAAGCAAAAAACGCACAGGCGATCAAATACCATCGAAAGAAAGCTCCATTGGTGGGAAAAAAAGGATATAAATGTAATTTGGGTGCAGCGTTGCATGACCGCGCAATTGTCAGTTAAAGTAATGCAGCGCCGTATCACAAAAAAATTACCGGGTCCGGAAGGGGTGTAAATCCTCTGGAGGGCAAGTAGATAAAACAACACACTGAATTTTAAGTAGTTTCAGGTTCTTCTTCAATAATGTACTTTCCAACACGTAAGCCGTAAATCTTTGCTCCTGGCACAAGTCAGATCCTTCTAAAGGTCTCAGATACAAATTACTCAACCTTTAGACAGGTATGAACAGCCTGTTTTCTCCTAATTACTAACTCTACTTGCTAGTGAAATTTCCACAGGTATGACAATGAATGCATTCTTCTGAACTGTTAGTTATGGTATTTTGTGCGGAATATAGCTGGAGGCTGTCCCAAGAGGTTTGAAGACTTCAGCATTCAGTGTTCATACAATCATTGTATAGAACCTGTAAGCCTGAGCAGTAGTTGGGAGGGGGGGCACTTGGGTGCTAAGTGACGTTGTCCCAGCACAGCACTGGTCCATAACACAGTCTCAACTTACTGTCCTATAATGGCAGTTATTTGCCAAAACAATCATTATTTTGCTACATTAGCCACGAATGTGTACTGTGAGCTGTCAGATGGAAGCGATCCAGCAGCTGTGCAGCCGATGGATCACTGACACATGCCCCCATATGTAATAAAAAGATAATATGCGAGCGCTATCCGGAGAACTCAAAGCAGCTAGAACACCAAAAGGTAACCAAGAGAGAAACTTCCAATAAAGTACATAAACATATATATATAGATCTAAAACCATATATAAGGTGCAGCGCTCTAATAGTAAAATGGCATATATAACATATAATAAAGTGCAAATGTCAAATCACACTGCGGTGAGGTTAAGTGAGATGAACAAGTCCCAAAATAGGTCAAACGTGGGGATCCAATAGATCCTAGTAGGTGCGTGGGATGAGATTCTGTGTATCACACGGTGAATCTGAGGTAAAAATTGCGCACTCACCAGAAGTGCGTCACACACAAAAAAAAAAAAAACGCATGTAAGATTTATCCTGTGGTATCAGATAGCGATCAATTGCCAAGATAGGGACAGGATCCTACGCCTTCCAATCGCACCTTGGGTATATACTTCAAATTTCATATGCATTTCTCAGGGCGTGTCACCATCCGGATGGTGACATGCATATGAAATTTGCATACAATGGTCATTTTTTATTCATGTGACCTAAACCTTTTAGTTCCAAAAGAAACATAGAAGTGCAGGCAATTTTGAGCTCACTGGATTTCTGGCAGGATCAAAACATGGTCTTTTTTTTGGCAGTGATTGAACACAGATCATTGTTAGGGTTTAAAAAATTACTGAAGACGTTAGTGACATGCTGTATTGTAATATAATCCTGGCAGAGTTACAGCTGTGCTGAAAAGTTTGCATACCCTGGCAGAAATCGTTAAATTTTGGCATTGTTATTGAAAATGTAAACTTTTGATCAGGGCTATTGGGGTGATTTCTAACATAATTAGGATTTAAAAAGGAGCCAAAGAACTATGTGATAATAAATGGCTTTATATGATCACTATCCTTAACCCCTCGCCTACAGGGCACTTATACTCCCTTCCTGCCCAGGCCAATTTCCAGCTTTCAGCGCTGTCACACTTTGAATGACAATTGTCGCGGTCATGCAACACTGTACCCATATGAAATTTTTATCATTTTTTTGTGACAGATAGAGCTTTATTTTGGTGGTAATCAACTGTTTTTTTTTCTTAAGCAAACCAGAAACCACTGACAATTTTGAAAAAAAAAAGTTTCTTAGTTTTTGTTTTAAAATTTTGTAAATAAGTGATTTTTCTCCTTCACTGATGAGCGCTAATGGGGCTGCAGTGATGATGGGCACTGATGGAAATTGACAGCCATCACTGATGGGCACTGAAAGGCAGCACTCATATGGCACTGATAGGCAGAACTGACAGGCACTGATAGGTGGCCCTGATTGGCAGCACTGATAGGTGGCCCTGACTGGCAGCACTGATAGGTGGCCCTGACTGGCAGCACTGATAGGTGGCCCTGACAGGTGGCACTGAAAGGCAGCTCAGATGGGCACTGATATGTGACATTGATGTGCACTGGTAGGCACGGATATGTGGCATTGATGTGGCACTGCAGGTGGCATGGATGAGCACTGATGGACACTGACAGGTGGCACTGCTGGGGCTACACTGATCATCAGGGCACATTGATCATCAGTGCTCTGATGATCAGTGTACATGTCCCCTCTAAGGGGTGCCGATTACCGGCTCTCCTCTCCTCTTTCAGCGTGACAGCTCGTGAGGAGAGAAATGCTGATAACCAGCATTTCCCTGTTTACATGTGATCAGCTGTGATTGGACACAGCTGATCACATGACCGAGCCGACATCTTCGGCTCTTTCCGTTGATCGGTAATCTGCTGTGCCCAAGGGACACAGCGCACCGCCGATCGCCGCGCACTCCCGGAGCTGAGCACACACGGTTAGAATGGGAGGACGTCATATGACGTCCTCCCAAAACGAGAGAACCGCCTTGCGCCAGTCATTGTACTATATGGCGGGTGGGAGGCGGTTAAATAAAAGACAGATTTTTGGCATGATCATATTTTCTATAGCAATGCCAACATTTCATTATTTCTGCCAGGGTATGGAAAGTTTTGAGCACAGCTGTAATACTCCTGCTGTGTGACCTGAACATGGTGGTTACCCTCATACCTCATCTGGTAATGATTAGCCACTCTCTCTCGATGCTGGAAGTCACTTCCATCTGTGCCGGTGGCTCGAGGTCCTGCTCGTGAAGACATAATTCAGTCTAACACCTACAAGAGAGATGGGAATACATAATGGGTTATGTATCCAACTGCTGTGGTTGTATGTGGAATGTGTTACATAGTTAGTCTGGCTGAAAAAAGACAAAAGTCCATCCAGTTCAACCATAAAAAAAAAAAAAAAAAAAGTTATAATCCTACACCCACAGGTGATCCAGAGGAAGGAAAAAAAAACCCAGCAAAGCACGATCCAATTTGCTCCTGCAGGGGAAAGAATTCCTTCCTGATCCCCCGAGAGGCAATCAGATATTCCCTGGATCAACTTTACCTATAAATGTTATATCCAGTTATATTCTGTGCATCCAAGAAAGAATCCAGGACTTTTTTTTAAAGCAATCCACTGAGCTGGCCAGAAATAACTCTTGAGGGAGTCTATTCCACATTTTCACAGCTCTTACTGTGAAGAAACCTTTCCGTGTTTGGAGATTAAATTTATTTTCCTGTTAGAAATTTAGCTATAGGTTTAAATGATCACATGAATATCCTTCTTCAAATATTCAATAGAGAAGATGGGACTTTCAGGGTGCATGAACATGCATACCAAACATATTAAAAAGTTATATCATTTTTATTTTGTATTTTTGTAAAATAACACATGAAAATATGAAATAAAAATTAAATAACTTTTTTCATATGTTTAGTATTCATGTTCATGCACCCTGAAAGTCCCATCTTGAATATTTGCAACTTTAAGGGATGTGGTGCAATAACCATATCTGGTCGCTCGCCACTTCACTGTTTCTGCTATCCTTCTTCAAAGCTGACGTTTATTTTGACATCCCTGGTCCCCCTCATCACTATGCTTATGAAATTGTTAAATAAAGCCTTTCCATTTTTACTACATACATAGTAAACCCAGTAACCATAACCACTACATCTCTGTGCTTCTCTAAGCAACTCAGGCAGATCATGGCTGATAGGAAGTGACAGCAGGGCACCTGAAAACATCACAGCACCCTGCCTCAGTAGTGCTCTCAAAATCCCTCAGTCCTGATGTACACAGTGGGCCAGCTCATGGGAGGAGTTATGCAAATATCAAAATGTCTTGTGGGGTAGAGGTCAGTCTGGAGGAGTGTGCATTTCTAGACAGGTGTAATTTGCATGCAGATCTTCCTAGGTAACACCCACATGCTGCACTGAGACCCCATAACTGAAATTCAGAAAGGGATAGCCAGTAAGGCTGTGGAGAAAAAAAAAAAAAAAAAAAAAAAACAAGATGATGCTGGATGTCCTCTAACCAGGAAATGAGCTGGAAAAGTGCAATGTGGTGTGACCTATACCTATTGAAAGCTAGTCTGTGAAGCAGTCCTTACTCATTCATGTAGAAGGAGGCAGTATCTGGGGAGCCCTTATTTTAACCACTTCCCGACCGGCTGTTGCATATAAACGGCCGGACGGTGGCAGTGCAGGGTCGAGTGGCCGTTTACAAACCGCCTCCCCGCACCCTGCTTGTGCGCGCTCCCTGGGAGTGCGCAGCACCGCAATCCGGTGCCCGCTGTGTCCTCCGGACACAGTGAAACACCGATCGTCGGACGGGACCTCTGTACGAGGTCCCGATCATGTGGTCACTGATTGACCAATCAGTGATCACATGCAAAGTAGTAAGCAAGATGTCACTTCTGACATCATTGCTTACTACGTGTGAAATCTGTGAATGATCACATAGGTCACATGGTACAAGGCTATTCACAACAGCCTTGTACCATGTGACAAGCTGTGACCAATCACAGCTCACTCAGTACTTCTCAATGAGTGCAAGAATGCACACAGAGAGAAAGAGAAATGATTGCTTTTACATCCTATATAGGTGTAAAAGCAATCAGTGTAAAAAAAAAAAAAAAAAAAAAAAAAAAAAATCTTCATGACCCCCCCACAAGTAGTACAGTGACACCATGGTGACACTGTAATGCTAGGGTGACAGTATGTAAAAAAAAAGAAATTAAAAATATAAAAAAAATATTTAAAAAAAAATAAAAATGTAAAAAAAAAAAAATGTTTAAAAATTATAATTTGTGGTTATAAACTAATTTGGATTTTTTTTTTTTACTAAAAAGATAAACGGAATACATTTTGGCCAAAATTTATGATGAAATATTTGTTTGCAAAATTTTATAAAACAAAAACACTTTTTTCAAAATTTTTGGACATTTCATTTACATAGCAAAAAAATTAAAAATCCCAGCGGTGAATAAATACCACCAAAATAAAGCTTTATCTGTCTCAAAAAAATGGTAAAAAATTCATTTGGGTAGTGTTGCATGACCGCGCAATTGTCATTCAAAGTGTGATAGTGCTGAAAGCTGAAAATTGCCCTGGTCAGGAAGGGGGTGAAAGTGTCCGGACTGGAAGTGGTTAAAGCAAAACTACACTACTCTGAGCACCACAAACCAAACACGCCATTTAATTCACTTTCAATATTCAAAGCAAACTCCCCCATCCATCCATGTCTCCATGCTTTTTTTTTTTTTTTTGCTGTGCAATCACTTGGAAAAACACCCCCCTTATTTCTGGCCGTGGCCATCTTGAGTAAGGGCAGACAATTCATAGAGCATTTACTTCCTGAATTTCATCTGCACTTAGATCAGGGTGTAGCGGCAAGATGAGTCCCCCCATGAAGATGTGTCTCCCTGATGCATCTGCGCATGTCACGGTTTCAGAGACGATCAAGCGATCACAGAGCTACTTTATCTGCCCTCTCCTTTCCATGATGCTTCTATCCATCTTGCGGGAGCGTCGGCTATTGATCTGCGGTCTCAGCTTCAGCGATGCGTGTACTCAGCGGTGCAGCCTAAAAGGGGTTAACTGTGGCAGTTCTGTGCTATGGATGGCGATCGGCTACTTCTGCCGAAAACCGTGACATGCGCAGATGCGTCAGGGAGACATCTTCATGGGGGGACTCATCTTGCCGCTACACAGGCATGCATGCAGGAGGGTGTGCTTAGCTGAGAAAACCCCTTGTGAAGACTCCTGGGATGCATGTCATGTTCATTTGCCTAGGCCTGGAAACCAGGAAGTAGCTGAAAAAAAAAAATAAAACAAGTAAATATGATAAAATATCCAATTTACTAATAGTAGCCGTGTAAAGATTAAAAATAGTCATTGTTGACTGAGCGATGTTCAGCTTTAACCACTCCCATTTTTAGATAACAGCGCTGTCACACTTTGAATGACAATTACTCCTTCATGCAACACTGTATGCAAATTGACAGCATTAACTCCGCCCCATAGCAGAAATACTGTAATAGGGAGGCAGCTGTGCGCAAAATCACGTATATATACGTGATTTTGCATTTCCAGGTAGGGGGCGTGCACCCTACCTGCGCCGCCATTCACAGCCGTGGCTGTCAATCACCGGGTCCTGGCTGGTGATTGCCAGGGATCTCCAACATGAGGGGGGGGGGTGAAGAACTGTTCGTAAACAAAACAGTTCTCCTCACTGTCAGCTCCTGCACACTTCTTTGCATGGCTCTGCATAGCACAGCCATGCAAAGCACTGGGCTTACAGTGAAGCACACACACAGCCCCCCCTATGTAAAAATGTAAAACAGCCCACAGTCAACCCTCTGATCTCCCCAGATGGTAACCCCTTCCTACCCAGTGCCATTAGTACAGTGGGCTTTTTATTACCATTAGGCTTTTTATTACCACTGATCACTGTACTGGTGTCACTGGGGATGTCAGTGACACCAAGTTAGTTCCCCCCCAGTGTCAGAATGCCCGACGCAGTCCCGCTATAAGTCGCTCATCAACGCCATTACTAGTGTAAAAAAAAAAAAAAAAAAAGAAGGCCCATATATATATATATATATATATATATATATATCCATTTGTAAACGCTATAACTTTCATGTAAACCAATTAATTTACACGTATTTGGATTTTTTTTTATTTTAGCAAAGACATGTAGCAGAATACATTTTGGCCTAAATGTATGCCGAAATTTGATTTTTGAATTTTTTTTTACTGGACATATTTAATAGCAAAAAATAAATAAAAAATAGCAAAAAAAAAAGTAAAAAAAAAGTTTTTTTTTTTCAATTTTTTTTTCCTTATAGTGCAAAAAAAAACCGCACAGGCAATCAAATACCAAAGAAAGAAAGCTCTATTTGTGGGAAAAAAAAATCTAATTTGGGTGCGGCGTTGCATGACCGTGCAATTGTCAGCTAAAGTAACACAGTGCCGTAATGCAAAAAATGGCCTGGTCAGGAAGGGGGGGGTAAATCCTCTGGAGGGCAAGGGGTTAAAGTTGTATCATTTTTTTTGAGACAGATTTCTTTTTCTGGTATTGAATCAGCACTGATTTTGCTACATAAATGAAAAAATACCATACATTTTGAAAAAAACCCAAGTTTTTCCTACTTTTTGTGAGACGTCCCAGCCTAGCTACATAGAGAGGCCCAAAATCCAAAGAACACCTTCAGGTGTTCTAAGCGCATAAATTGCACAAAACGTAGAGCCTATCAAATACCACCAAAAAAAAGCTCTATTTGTAGGGAAAAAAGGACAAATTTCATTTGGGTG